CCCCCAGAGGCTGAGGCTCAGCCTCGAGGCTGTAGCTGAGACTCCTTGAAACTCACACGCCGGATCGGCAGATTTTCAAGGCTTGCGCCCGCCATGTTTGGGCCTCCGGTCGTTTTCACTAAACCACGTTTTGCTAAAGGGAGGCCTGTCCATCCTCGAAAGACCCCCAAGAGGCTTCCATAACGCCGAAAAACATTCATGCCCCAAGCGTTGTGCATGATTTGGGGAATGCCTGTTCTTCGGTCTTCTGGGCGTCCGACTGCCTGGGAGGCTCCCAGATTGGCCCAGAACCATCGGAAGAGAGCCCCAAGACGACACAACAGGGTTCCAAGATGGCCTAAGAGAGCCCCATGACGGCCCAAGATGGCCCCAAGACACCCTCCGAAGCATTCCAAATCGTGACCCAGTCGTTCGGGGAGACCGCGGTTGGAGGCAGGGTGGCCCGAGGAAGCCCCCAGGGGCCCCCAGAACACGCCCAGGAGGCCTCCAGACGGCATTAAGAAAGCTTGCGGAACTTTTGTGAGGCCCCCAGAGGCTCTCCAAGGAGGAGCCTCCGCAAAAAGAGCTGAGGAGGATGGGAATGAGGAAAAAGAAGCATGGAGGGAGGATAACGAACAACACTATTATGTCGGCGATGCCGGAAAAGGCAATAAGGAATTATCGCTAAATTGTCGGCTAGACCTTCCTGCCATTCCGCCTGCGTACCAAACTTCAAGTACCAAGGTGCATGGCGCGAAGCACTACTGCAGTCTTGTATATAGAATGTATATTACGGATTCCGCCTGTATGTTTGCAAGCCAGGAGGGCTGGCCCCCGTAAAGGTTGACAAAACCGTGTGTGCGTCATCACTCTTTTCTACCGTTCTTCACGTCACTCATGTTGTTACTGATCAGTATTGCTTTCTGTTATCGTGTGAACAGGTAAGGCGGGCGCGCGGAAGGGTTTGTCGAGGCTCGCGGACGGGGGTGTCCTTTATAGTGGCAGATTATAATATGATCGATTTTGTGGCGGATTACAGATTGATGTTTTTTGTGGTTACACATTGATTCCTTTCGTGGCGGAATACAAATTCACCTTCCGGATTACAGAAAGTTTCCTTTGATGGCGGATTACACATAGATTTATTTGCGGGGGCGTTAGGAGGAATCCAGGGAGTGAAAGAAACCAACAACAAGTGAACTATCAATTTATTGTTATACACTTGCTGTGTTTTCTATGTTTTTGGGTGTCGGGGGCAAAACACAATCTAGAAAGCACAGCGTTTTCAGCATCCAGAGCTCCACAACTTTATGTTTTATAATGCTTTTATATGTCCCGATACCCGCAACATTGTAAGACACAGCGTTTTGAAGATCTGGATGCTGAAAATGCTGTGTTTTCACAGTCCGTTTAGTCTCCGACACCCTAAAAATGAATTTACAGCAATGTTAACAAAAGCGTACCCCACAAAGGAATACATTTGCAATTGGCCACACAAGGAATCCTTGTGCAATCCGCCAGACAAGATTAGATTATATTCCGCCACAAAAGAATCGCAAAGGGAATCACTGTGTAACCCGCCACAAAAAGGAATCCTTTTGTTACTGCCAAAGAATGACTCTGGGCAACGGCTATGCTCCTGCTACTCTTGTGTACGGCGCATTGCACTCTACTGACTCTGCCATCGCGCAGATGATGGGTACTACTGCCGCTACTACTACTACTACTACTACTACTACTACTACTACTACAACTACTACTACTACTACTACTACTACTACTACTACTACTACTACTACTACTACTACTACTACTACTACTACTACTACTACTACTACTACTACTACTACTACTACTACTACTACTACTACTACTACTACTACTACAACTACAACTACTACAACAACTACTCACTACTCGCTAGCTGCGGCTACTACTATTTTTTCTAACCACTAACGATTACTACGACTATCACAACTACAACACCTTCTCCTCCTCCTCCTACCTCCTACTCGCTACTACTACGACTATACGACTACGAACTACGACTACGAGAACGACTACTACTACGACTACGACGACTACCTACTGCACTAACTACTACTACTACTAACTATACTACTACTACGTAACCTACTACTACTAACGTGACGACTAACGAACTACGACTACTACAACTACTACTACAACAACACCTACATGACTACTCACTACGACGACTAACTAGCCAACTATAACACTAACGACTAACGACCTACTACTACGACTACTAACAACTATACTACTACTCCTACTACTACTTATCTCACCTACTACTACTACTTACTACAGTAGCTACAACAACTACTACCTAGCATACTACTACTACTACGACTACGACTACTACTACTACTACTACTACTACTACTACTACTACTACTACTACTACTACGACTACCACCACGAGCTGAGTTGTCGCCGAGTGCAAAGCGCTTGCGCAAACACTGAGCATGCGTTCGAGTGAAATCTTTTCCTGTTCATTTAAATCGTCCACATGTACAAAAACGCTCTATTCCAGTTTCGCCATCATTGCACTACCGTCGTTTGCCGTCGCCATATCGATAGCTTCGATCCACGGATAGTTCTATCATTATGTTTATTATCTTGTATTTCTTGTGTTAAGGTGCCAAGTCGTTGTTTTGCTTGGAGCGCAACGATTCCACAACAACTTACCTTGCTATACGACGAAAACACACGTGTGACGCGCACACACGCGGCTTTGTCAACTCCACCCGTAGCCCCCCCCACGCACACACACACACATAACAAAAAACGGGACCCCCCGGATCCGTGGGTCTGGGGACCCCATGGACGCCCCTGCAGAAGGTCCCCAAGGGCTTTCTGGAGTTCCTGGAAGTCGTTGCTGGGCCTAGGCAGCGGGCCCCAGAGGCCTCAGACACCCACCAGTCGACCGACGACGACGCAAAGAACACCCCCAAGAGGGTTTCGAAACGCAGAAAACGATGTTCTAAAGTTGTTGCATGATTTGGGGAATGCCCTGCTCTTCGGTCTTCGTGGGCGTCCGAGACTGCCTGGGAAAGACCCGAAAATCGCCCCAAACTTACTCGACAGGGCTTCCGGGCAGTCCAGTCCAACAGAGCCCCAGGGTGGCCCAACAGGGCCGCAAGATGGCCCGAAGAGAGCTCCACGACAGCCCGAGATGGCCCCAAGGCCGCCCCCCGAAGCATTCCAAATCGTGGCCTGGTCGTCCAGGGAAACCCCGCGGTTGGAAGCAGGGCGGCCCGAGGAGGCCCCCAGTGTCAGAACAGGCAGCAAGGAGTGATCGCTGAATCTTCGGCGTTCCCTTCCTGCCCCTCCGCCTGCATGCATTTCAAGGAGAAAGACGCATGGCGCGAAGCGTCAATGCAGTCTTGCATTTCCACACACATATATTTTTACAAGCGTATGCATCTGGGAGTGCTAGGGCCCGCCGCCCACGCGCGCGCCCTTTTTCCAGCTTCTACTCTTTCCAGCTTCCCTGTACCCACCGGTCATACCCCTTTCGAGCTGCAGACGCGCCGCTTGCCCGGGCTGCTAGCACGCCGTTTGCCCGCTTGGCTGGCGAGCTATCCTTATTCATGCGAGCACTTACCGGAAGCCCGCGACCGGCGCTGCACACGCCCCCCCGGCTTGACCGAGAAGCGGACGCCCCCGTCCCCACCCCCAGGAGAGTAGGAATTCCTAAGCATTCCTAGGGATCCTTAGGAATCCTTTGGGGATTCCTAGGAATCCTTTCGGAATTCCTATGGATCCTTAGGAATTCCTAGGAATCCTTAGGAACTCCTCCGGATTACTGAGAATTCCTAGGAATCCTGAGGAATTCCTGGGAATCCTTAGGAATTCCGACCGAGACTCATCGTCCTCGTGGTTCGGGGTGCCAGTAAGCAAGGGGGGCGTGGCTTCAACCCCCTCGCGAGCGGCGGTGGTGGTTCGAGGGCAGAGCCCCCCCGCCTGCCGCTGTCCGGCCCGCCCCCCGGGAGGGACAGGGGGGGAGGGGGGAGGGGAGGCGGAGGGAATCGCCAATCCCAGGCCTCCGACTTCGCGAGAAACTCACGACGAGGGTTTTGATGGTTTTCGGCCTCGGGAGGCCCCCGCCGGGCCTCGGGAGCGTCAAAACACGACTCGGGATGAAAAAGCGGTCCCAGGGAAGGTCTCCAGACTTCGGGGGGCCGACGTCGTGAGTTTCTCACGAGGGATGCGCGCGATACCGAGCACTGCCGCTCGTGCTCGCCAGTTGTTCTGCGTTCTGCTCCGTTTCCTTTTTGTTGCCCAGCGTTCCACCGGGAAGTGGGTGCCTCACATGCTGTAGTCTTCATGGCCAGACCGCGCGACAGTCGCGCACACGGAGGGAATCTCTCTTTCTCTTTTTCTTTCCCTCTCTCCTTCTCTCTCCTTCCCATCCCTCCCCTGCTCCCCGTCATCGCTCAGGGATCGATGGGGGCGCAGGGGAACAAGAAGGCGGGGAGACATACCGAGAGGGGAAGGCGACGAGCAAGGTTGCGAGAGACGGGGAAGAGAGGACTGGGAGACTGAGGGGGAAATGGGAGGGAGTCGATGGGGAGGGAAGGAGGCATGAGGGGAACGGAACGGAACGGACGCTCGCAGACTCGCCAGGGCGCGGTCCCTCCATATGAACGGAGTTGTGGCGCCCAGAATTCAGCCTAAGACCGGGGAGACGTCCAGCAGCAGTGCAGCGTGAGCAGTGTGACAAGGAGGCGGGGGACAATGCCTAGAGGAAAAGGCGAGCACAGGGGGGGGGGCGAGAGACGGGGAAGAGAGGGCGGGGAGAGCGAGGGACGAGGGGAGGGGCTCGATGGGGTGGAAAAGGAGAGGGGAAGGGAGGAGAGGGGAGGAGAGGGGGTGGAAAAGGAGAGGGGAGGGGAGAAGAGGGCACAGCGGGCGATGCGAGGCAGGGCTGGGCGGGGCAAAGGCGAGCGAGGCAGGGGGCGTCCTGGGGAGGGCGGGCGCGCGAGCCCTCCACCCAGGCCAAGCCTGCGGCGAGGCGCTGCTGGATCCGGGAGCCCACCGACGAGGAGCGACAGGCCCCCCCCATCGGAGACCGCGGCCCCTCGGCTCTACTACTACTACTACTACTACTACTACTACTTACTACTACGTGTAGACTACACGACTACTACTCTACGATACTACGACTATGACTACTACTGACCACACGAACTGACGACTTGACGGCTACGACTACTACTACTACTACTACTACGTACTACTCACTACTACTATACTACTTACTACTAGTACTACGACCTACTCCCTACGAATACTACTACTACTAATACTACATAGGTACTACTCAGTACCATACTAAAACTCTACTTACCTACTAATACTACCACTACTAGACTACTACTACTACTACTTACTTACTAACACCCGCTCCTACTACTACTATTTACTATGCTATACGACTCCCCACCCCCTATGACGAATTACATACTCAATAACTACTACTACTACTACTACTTGCGTACTTGATACTACTACTAACTTACTACTGCTACTACTACTGCTACTACGTACGACTGAACACCACACGGACTGACGAACTACTACTACTACTCACGACTACGTACGACGTTACTAACGGTACTACGAATTACTACTACCGTACTATTACTATTACACTACTATTACTACTACTACTATACTACTTACTATACTACTAGTACCACTACGAACACTACTACTACTACACTACTACTACTACGACTACTACTACTACTTTTACTAATTGCTACTGCTATGCTACTGCTGCTATACTATATATTACTACGCCTAACGACGTACTACCAATACTAATAAGACTACTTACTGTACAACTACTACTGCTGCTGCTGCTATGACATTACTACCACTACTTATACTATACTACTACTAGTACCTACTACTACTACTACTACTACTACTCACGAGACTAATTCTACGACGACTACTACGACTACTGAGTACTACTTCCTACTCATACTCCTACTCTTACGCCTACTACTTAACTACTACGATGACTACTACTTACGACTACTAAGACTACTACTACACGACTACGACTACGATAGACTAGGTACTAGTACTAGTACTAGTACTAGTACTACTACTACTACTACTACTACTACTACTACTACTACTACTACTACTACTATTACTACTACTACTAGGGAACGCCGTGCCCGTCCGGGCCCCACGCCGTGCCCGTCCGGGTCCCACGCCGTGCGCCGTGCCCGTCCGGGTCCCACGCCGTATGCCGTGCCCGTCCGGGTCCCACGCCCCACGCAGTGCCCGTCCGGGTCCCACGCCCCACGCCGTTCCCGTCCGGGTTCGCGCTTGCGCGCCTCAGGAATCCCTGAAGTGTATAAGCGCATAGGAATCCTGAGGGAATCCTAAGGGAATCCTGACATGCTAGCGAATCCGAAGGGAATCCTAAGGAATGCTAGCGAAACCGAAGGAATCCTAAGGAATCCCAGCGAATCCTCAGCGAATCCTAATGGAATCCGAAGGAATCCTTGCGCAGACCGCACGCCGTTCCCGTCCGGGTTTGCGCTTGCGCGCCTCAGGAATCCCTGAAGTGTATAAGCGCCTAGGAATCCTCAGGGAACCCTAAGGGAATCCTGAAGGAATGCTAGCGAGTCCGAAGGGAATCCTAAGGAAACCTAGCGAATCCGAAGGAGTCCTAAGGAACCCAAAGGAATCCGACCGAATCCTCAGCGAATCCCAATGGAATCCTAAGGAATCCTTGCGCAGACCGCACGCCGTTCGCGCTTGCGCGCCTCAGGAATCCCTGAAGTGTATAAGCGCCTAGGAATCCTGAGGGAATCCTAAGGGAATCTTGACGGAATGCTAGCGAATCCGAAGGGAATCCTAAGGAATGCTTGCGAATCCGAAGGAATCCCAAGGAATCTGGAGGAAATCTACCGCATCCTCAGCGAATCCTAATGGAATCCGAAGGAATCCTTGCGCAGACCGCACGCCGTTCCCGTCCGGGTTCGCGCTTGCGCTCCTCAGGAATCCCTGAAGTGTATAAGCGCATAGGAATCCTGAGGGAATCCTAAGGGAATCCTGACGGAATGCTAGCGAATCCGAAGGGGATCCTAAGGAAACCTCGCGAATCCGAAGGAATCCCAAGGAATCCTAAGGAATCCCAGCGAATCCTCAGCGAATCCTAATGGAATCCTAAGGAATCCTTGCGCAGACCGCACGCCGTTCCCGTCCGGGTTCGCGCTTGCGCGCCTCAGGAATCCCTGGAGAGCGCATAGGAATCCTGAGGGAATCCGAAGGGAATCCTGACGGAATGCTAGCGAATCCGAAGGGAATCTTAAGGAAACCTAGCGACTCCGAAGGAGTCCTAAGGAACCCAAAGGAATCCGACCGAATCCTCAGCGAATCCCAATGGAATCCTAAGGAATCCTTGCGCAGACCGCACGCCGTTCGCGCTTGCGCGCCTCAGGAATCCCTGAAGTGTATAAGCGCCTAGGAATCCTGAGGGAATCCTAAGGGAATCTTGACGGAATGCTAGCGAATCCGAAGGGAATCCGAAGGAATGCTTGCGAATCCGAAGGAATCCCAAGGAATCTGGAGGAAATCTACCGCATCCTCAGCGAATCCTAATGGAATCCGAAGGAATCCTTGCGCAGACCGCACGCCGTTCCCGTCCGGGTTCGCGCTTGCGCTCCTCAGGAATCCCTGAAGTGTATAAGCGCATAGGAATCCGAAGGGAATCCTCAGGGAATCCTGACGGAATGCTAGCGAATCCGAAGGGAATCTTGAGGAAACCTAGCGAATCCGAAGGAATCCCAAGGAATCAAAAGGAATCCGACCGAATCCTCAGCGAATCCCAATGGAATCCGAAGGAATCCTTGCGCAGACCGCACGCCGTTCCCGTCCGGGTTCGCGCTTGCGCGCCTCAGGAATCCCTGAAGTGTATAAGCGCATAGGAATCCTGAGGGAATCCTCAGGGAATCCTGACGTAATGCTAGCGAATCCGAAGGGGATCCTAAGGAATGCTTGCGAATCCGAAGGAATCCTAAGGAATCCTAAGGAATCCCAGCGAATCCTCAGCGAATCCTAATGGAATCCGAAGGAATCCTTGCGCACACCGCACGCCGTTCCCGTCTGGGTTCGCGCTTGCGCGCCTCAGGAATCCCTGAAGTGTATAAGCGCCTAGGGATCCAGAGGGAATCCTAAGGGAATCCTGAAATGCTAGCGAATCCGAAGGCAATCCTAAGGAATGCTAGCGACCCCGAAGGAATCCCAAGGAATCCTAGCGAATCCTCAGCGAATCCTAATGGAATCCAACGGAATCCTTGCGCAGACCGCACGCCGTTCCCGTCCGGGTTTGCGCTTGCGCGCCTCAGGAATCCCTGAAGTGTATAAGCGGTTAGGAATCCTGAGGGAATCCGAAGGGAATCCTGACGGAATGCTAGCGAATCCGAAAGGAATCCTAAGGAAACCCAGCGAATTCGAAGGAATCCCAAGGAATCCGAAAGAATCCGACCGACTCCTCAGCGAATCCTAAGGAACCCGCCTGCCCTTGGGGCCCGAGATCCCTGGGCGTGCATGCCGAATGCAAGCGCCCAGGGACGAGCATTGATCAGCGCGGCCGAATTGAGTCCGTTATCACTTGCATAATCCCCGTCATGATTATCACCATCATCATCAGAATCATCAAAAACATCAGCATCATAATGATCATCACCAATATCATCTTCATCATCGTCGTCATCATCATTATCACCACCATCATCGTCATGAATCGTGATCATCACCAGCATCATCACAATCACCATCAGCATCCTCATCACCATCATAATCATCATCATCGCCACCATCATCATCGTTGTAATCAACATCATCATCGCCATACATCAGCATCATCATCATCGTCATCATCGTTATCATCATACTCCGCATCATCGTCATCCTACTAATCGTCACCATCACCACCATCATCATCGTCGTCATCATCATCATCATCATTCTCATCACCTTCTTCAACATCACCTTCATGATGTAAGCTCCCAATGCAACCTCCGCAGACATCTATTGAGCAACCCAAATGGAAGCAATGCAAAATAATGCGAAGCAGCCCAATGCAAAGCAATGTAATATCTTCGGGATCGAACACGGCGGGCCCGGACGGAGACGGCGTTCGCTTCCATCATGCTCGATTGTATGGACGGGGGGCAACTTAAAACCGAAAGCCGAGTGTCAAACTCTTAAGGTAAGTTTATGTTCTGGGATCCAATATCGGCCGCATAAACTTCTAAACCATATACTTCAGTGCCAAAAGAAGAGAAAGACAGCGACACATCTTCAGAACAGCGGTTCACTACTACACGGCCCGGACGGGCACGGCGTTACCTACTACTACTACTACTACTACTACTACTACTACGACTACTACTACTACTACTACTACTATCACTAGTTTTACTTACTACTTACTACTTACTACTACATACTACTACTACTACTACTACTACTACTACTACTACTACTACTGCTACTACTGCTACCACTGCTACTACTACTACTACTACTACTACTACTTTGACTAATACTTACTAATGACGATACTACTACATACTACTACTACTACTAATACTTTACTACTACTACTACTACTACTACTACTAAACTACTACACTACCACTACACACTACTACTACTACATACTACACCTACTACTACTACTACTACTACTACTACTACTATACACGCCATAAAGGCTACTACTACTACTACTGCTACTACTACTTACTACATACTACTACTACCAATACTTACTACTACTACTACTACTTACACTACTACTACTACTACTACACTTACTATTACCACTACTACTACGACTATTTATTTACTTACTACTACTACATACCTACTACTAATACTATACTACTACTACTACTACTAATACACTACTACGCACTACGACTAAGACTGCTACTTACTATTAATTCCTACTCTTACTGTTACTCCACTATACTATACTACTACTACTACTACTACTAATACTACTAATACTACTGAC